GACTAAAGGGTGTTTTTTCATGTCCTCTATGCTCTAACTACGAAAATATTTGATTTACAAATAAGGAATCCTACTTCGCGGAATTTCATTTATCATGGTAGGGTCTAGAACCGATTAACCGCGATAAACGAGGGTTCACTGTACAACTATTCAACTTTATGCACACCACAAAACCAGTGATGAAGAAATTGGAGAATTCTACCAACAACTTCAGTCAGAAATTGATGAAACATGCAATCAAGACTCATTGATAGTTATTGTTGATTCAAATGCAAAAGTTGGAAATAAAGGAAAGAACAGTAGTTGGAATGTATGGTCTTGGTTTTAGAAATGAAGCTGGGAATTGCATGATAGAATTTTGTAACACCAAAGACTTATTCATAGCAAATACCTTTTTTCATTCACACAAAATGCTTCTTATACTCCTCCAGATGTAATAAACAGAATTCAAATTGCTTACATTGGTGGGAAGAGATGATGGAGAGGCTTAGCTAAAACCAGACCAGGGGCTGACTGTGGAACAGACTATGATATGTAATTTCAGGTTGAAGTGGAAGAAAATTTTAACAGGTCCATCAGAGCCAAAATAAGACATTGAGTCTATCCCACTTGAAATTACAAAACATCTCAAGAACAGATTTGACAGATTGAACACTACTGACAGAGGACCTGATGAGTTGTGGGAGAACATGAAGACCATGATTCATGAAGAGAGCAAAAAGGCATTAAAAAACAAAACAACAGAAAAGATCAAAGTGGATGTCAAAAGAGACTCTGAAATTTGCTTTTAGTGATGGAGTAGGTAAAGCAATTGAAAGAAAGGATGAAGTCAAAGAGTTGAATAGAAAACTTCAGAGGGCAGCTCAAGAGGACAAAGCCAGGAATTATAATGAAATGTGCAAAGACAGAATTAGAAAACCTAACTGAAAGAACTCACTCAACATTTCTTAAAGAATGCGAGGAAAAAATGCAACTCAAGTTGCAATTTTAAAAAATTCTGTGGGCAAAATATTGAATGATACAGAAGGCATCAAGAGACAGTGGAAAGAATACAAAGAATTACTGTACCAAAAAGAACTAGTCAACATTCTACCATTTCAGGAGGTAGCATATGAGTAAGAACCAATGTTACTGAGGGAAGAAATTCATGCTGCGGTGAATTCGTTAGCCTAAGACAAGGTTCCAGGAATTGATGGAATACCAGTTGAAATGTTTCAACAAGCTGATGAAGCCCTTACTCTTCTATGCCAGGACATTTGGAAGGCAACTCCTTGACCAACTGATTGGAAGAGGTCCATATTTTTGCCCATTCTAAAGAAAGGTGACCCAACAGAATGCTTGAGTTATTTAATGGTATCATTGATATCGCATGCAAGTAAAATTTGGCTGAAGGTCATCCGACAACAGTTGCAGCAGTACTTTGACAGGGAAGAGGACATGGAATAAAGGGATATCATTGCTGATGTCAGATGAATCTTTACTCAAAGCAAAGACTACCAGAAAGATGGTATTGACTATGCAAAGGTATTTGTGCAAACAGAACAAGGAAATACTGCATAGATTAAAATCAGAAAATATGTGAGTCAGGGTTGTATCCTCACACCATATTTAGCTGATCTGTGTGCTGAACAGATAATCAGAGGAGTTAGATTAGATGATGAAGCATGTGGTATCAGGATTGGAGGAAGGCAACCTGTGATATACAGATAACACAAGCTTGCTCGCTGAAATTGAGGAGGACCTGAAGCGCTTGCTGATGAAGATCAAAGATTGCAGCTTACAGTATGAATTACAACTCAATGTCAAGAAGACCGAAATTTTCACAACTGAATCAATAGATAACATCATTATAAATAGAGGAAAGGTTGAAACTTTTGGATCCAAAATCATTGCTCATGGAAGCAGCAGTCGGGATGTCAAAAGACGTGTTTTGCATTGGGTAAATCTGCTGCATGGCAAACCTCTTTAGATTGTTGAAAAACAAGGATGTTACTTTGAGGACTAAGTTGTGCCTGACTTAAGCCATCCTATTTTTAACCACTTCATATGCAAGTGAAAATGGACATCGAATAAAGAAGACCTAAGAATTAATTTGAGGAGAATATTGAAACAACTTTATCTTAGAAGTACATCCAGAGTGCCCCTTAGAAGCAAGGCTGGCAAGATGTAGTCTTACATACTTTGGACATGTTGTCAGGAGTAACCAGTCCCATCTTGTTTCTTGAAGTGGAGAGGCAGTGAAAAAGAGGGAAGCCCTTAGTGAGACGGATTGACACAATGGCTGCAGCAATGGGCTTAGGCATAGGAACAATTGTAAAAATGGGGCAGGACTGCGCAGTGTTTTGGTCTGTGTAGGGTTGTTATTGGTCGGAACAGACTAGATGGCACCTATCAACAACTACTTACTGTGGGGCAGACCTATATTGGAATTCAGTTTGTTGGTTGGTAGATTAATTAGCATGGTATTAGAAGGGGAATGGTTAGATGAATTAAATGTTTAATTACTTCAAGTTTTAAATGATATCCTAAAGTGTTTATCTCCACGATAATAATGATCCTGCTGGTAGAATACAAATTCCAACAAAATTGATTGTCCTAGGCAGATAAACCCTTCAGAACAGTAATGGGAGTAGCGATACCATGAGGGTAGGGGGAAGAAAGGGGGAACTGATCACAATGATTGACGTATAACACCTCCCCCCACCGCCGCCTCCTGCCCCCCCTCACCACTCCACCCCCACCCCCCCCAGGATGAACAGTAGAAATGTGGGTGAAGGGAGACAACAGACAGTGTGAGATATGAAAACAATATTAATTTATAATTTGTCAAGTGTTCACAAGGGTGGGAGTGGGGGGGAGGGAGGGAAAAAAGAGGAGCTTATATCTAGGGCTCAAGTAGAAAGAAAATGTTTTGAAAATGATGATGGCAATATATGTACAAATGTACTTGATACAATTGATGTATGGATTGTTATAAGAGCCCCCAATAACATGATTTATTCAAAGAAAAATTGTTGTCCTAGGTTTCTCCTTCTCCCCAAGGCTCGGCTGTGAGTTGCTGTTGGGTGGGACCTTATGTACAATGAAAGGAGGCGCTGCGCAGGCCTGGGCCGTCCTCTGAATTGTCTTGCTGGAGCCATGATCGCAGTTACTGTATCACTCCTTGAGGGTCTTCTCCTTTCTGCTGATGCTCTCGTTTATCCCGAGATCAGGTCCTCGCTGCTGACGACTGTTCTGGCTGCACGTACTTCATCCAAGACCCTCTCTTTGTTCTCTAGCGGCCATTGAGCTTTCAGTATTCTTTACCACCACCCTAATGACAACGTATCAGTTCTTCTCCTCATTGTCAAACTTTCATATGGACATGAGGCAATGAAAAATCATTATGGCTTGGGTTAGACTCACCATAGTCCTCAAAGTGCATCTTTATTCTTTTAATACTTTAAATAGATCTTGGGCAACAAATTTGCCCAATGCAATATTGGATTTTTTCCCCGCTGCTTTCGTGAGTGTTGATTGTGAATCCAAGCAAAATTAAATCCTTGACAGTTTCAATCTTTTTTCCAATTTATCATGATGCTGGCTGTTGGTCCAGTTGTAAGGATTTTGTCTTTTATTTTTACATTGAGTTGTAATTTACACTGTAGTCTTTGATCTTCATGAATAAGTACTTCAAGTCCTCTTAACTTTCAGGAAGCAAGATTGTACCATTTACGTATGGCAGGTTTTTAATGAGCCTGCCTTTAATCCTGATGCTGCAGTCTTCATTTAGTCCAATTTCTCAGATGATTTGCTTAGCATACAAATTGAACAAGTATGGTGAGAGGGTACAACCCTGATACACGCCTTTTCTGATTTGAAACCATGTAGTATTCTCTTATCTGCTCAAATGCCTCTTGGTCTGAATGAACACAACTAAATGTTCCAGCATTCACATTTTTGCCATGTTATCCAAGGTTTTTTTTTTTTTACCTATACAGCTGAATGTCTTTGCATAGTCAGTAACATACAATTAATCATCTTTCTGGTGTTCTCTGTTTTTACTCAAAATCCACTTAATATCACTCATTCTACATCCACTTCTGTATTCAGCTTGACTTTCTGGCAGCATCTTGTCCATATACTGCTAATAACTACTTTTGGATTATCTTCAACAAAGATTTTCTTACATATTAACTATACTGTTAGAAAATTTCAGTATTCTATTGGGCCACCTTTCCTTGGATTGGGCACAAATAAAGCTTAAATAGGTCTTGCCAAAATCATCTTCATGCTAATCAGCCCTCTTCCTTTCTATTGGAGATGTTTCAGTCTTATCAGAGTCATTGATTTCTTCAATATTCCTGAGTTTGGAATGCTGATGTTTTTTGGCTTTAACTCTCATGGAAGTCTTATTTCCAAAAACTTGAGGAAAATCCAGTGTAATCCCCAATGACTGACAATAATGTGCATTTTTATAATCATACTAATAAATGACAAGTTCCTATGAGAAATTTTATTTTTTTGCCCAAGACAGTAGCAACCATTATGTACCAGGAATAACTATTTACTTATTTTACTTCCCTGACAAAGTCAAGACTTTGCCTCTAGCCTATGTAGTGTGACATCTGTACGTACTGTTAGTTGAATTAGAGGAACTAGGACTATGACATTTTAATTGGTCAAGGTTACTGCTCTCTAGTTATAGAATGCTAAAAAAATGTTTTAAAGGAATATCTGATATATGGAATTTCCTTTTCTATATTCTCTAATTTATTTTAATAATTTCTTTTTAGGTGAGCTACATGGAAATTTACTGTGAGAGGGTACGAGATTTGTTGAATCCCAAAAACAAGGGTAATTTGCGGGTCCGCGAACACCCACTTCTTGGACCTTATGTGGAGGATCTTTCAAAGCTGGCGGTCACTTCCTATACAGACATTGCTGACCTCATGGATGCTGGGAACAAGGCCAGGTATGGTAGAAATAGACTCGTGATTGAGGTCTTTGAAACCATCAGAGGCCCTTTGTCCCTTGCGAGGGGTTGAGATCACATTTATAACTATGACAGTTGCTTTAATTTTGGAAGCCTCTGATCCTTTGACTACAGAGCTGAGAGCGTCATTATGGTAGATATCTTTCTCCTCATCAAAACCATATTCTACTGAAACCCATTACAACTTTGGTACAAAGTTTCACTCTTAGAGTTTTATGTAGTCGTCATGTCTATATACGGCTGTTATAGTAATTGATTTGGAAATAACGAGCATCTAATAAAGAATCGAAATTAAGTGCTTCAGTGGATCCTAAAAGGAGAGCTGGAGTATGAAATGTGACTTAGATGGGGTGCCGGGCTGCCTTTGGAGTTGGAGAGGAACTTGATAGGCTCACAAATAAAGTAGTATGGAGATAAATTGTGTGAGAAGCGTGTGATCCTGTGAATAAGCTGTGGAGCCCACTATTCATTTTGGCCTTGATCTAAGAATGCCATTGTCACATGGTCACCTTTATATTTATTTAGGACAGTGGCAGCTACCAACATGAATGAAACCAGCAGCCGTTCCCACGCTGTGTTCACCATTGTTTTCACCCAGAAGAAACATGACACGGAGACCAACCTTTCCACTGAGAAGGTAGGAGAGTTGTGCTGGACGGGGGTTTCAGAAGTCCCTCTTGTTGACCTCTGCGTTTTGTGGAAGGGAGGAAAGCTGCTGTTTCCATTCATGGATGTTGTTCTATGTAGCTTCTGCTTTCCACTTTTTCTTTTACTTTAAACCAAGCAAATAAAGTTAACAAAACACAGTCCAAGATGTGTAATCTTAAAAAGTGCTCTATGCAAGAGAGTTAAGCAGTTTCATAGACAGAAAATCCTTTCTTTCCTTCTTCTTCCCTGGAACCTCTTAATTTTCACCTTATTACCCTTCTTTATTCTGGGTAATTTACTTTTTGAGTTATGACAGTGTTACCATGGGAGTAAGCAGGTCTGATGGGTCTTATTTCTGGAAAACAAAGAAGTGCACAGGAGTTCTTCGATATCTTTGGTTCTTCATTTCTCATTTCCTATATTGATGAAATATTGTTGGATTTGGAATTAAATGGTTTGCTTTGAATCCTGGCTCTGCTATTTTTAGTGATGTTACCTTGGGCAGATTACTTAGTCTCTTTGTACTTTTGTTTTCCTGTCTACAACAACCTCAAACAAAAGAATGAAATCAGTTTCCCGCAAATTGACACCAACTCCCGGCGAACCCTTATGCGTCAGAGTAGGACTGTGCTCCACAGGGTCTCAGTGTCTGACTTTTCAAAATAAAACCCAGACCTTTTTTCTGGGGCACCGCTGAATGGACTCAAACTTCCAACCTCATTAGACTGTTAAAAGGATCAAATAGTAGTATATATTACTTTCCTTGAAAAGTTGCCACTCAGTAAATACTTATTTAATATAAAATTTCTGTTTAGCAGTCAAGAGTTTATTCACTGCACCCCCGGGGCTCCTGATGGTTGGTACTAGCATTTGTCAAAACCCACGGGACTGTACCACACAGAGTGAATGCTAACTTGACTGTTAAAAGAAAGCCTGTGCCTTGAACGCAACCCCTTACTATGCAGGAGGAAGATGTGGTGTCTGCCTCCGTGACGTTTTCAACCTGGGAAACCCTGTGGAGCAGTCCTACTCTGTCCTGCAGGGTCACGGAGTCAAAATTAATGCTATAGCAATACATTGTTTTTGTGTTGTATTTGGCACAATCCTGGATTTATAGAGAGAGCAGTTAAGTTCTCAGCTACTAAAAGAAAAGTCAGGGGTTTGAACCCACCAGCTGCTCCATGGTAGAAAGATGATGTAGTCTACATCCATAAGTATTATAGCCTTGAAACCCCAATAGGGCAGTTCTACTCTGTAGGGCCACTGTGAGTTAGAATCAACTTGATAACAGTGGCTATTGGTTCATCATTTGTAACAAATGCACTACAGGAATGCAGTATGTTCATCATAGGGGCAGAGAGGGAGATGTACATACAATATAGATATATATGAAAGTTCCGAACTTTCTGTAAACCTAAAATTGCTCTAAAAAATGTTGTTAAAATGAGATGATGATCTGATTTTAGATGATCTGATAACTTGACCCTGTTTAATGAGAAGTACCAGTAGCACTGCTGTTTAGTAGTCAGCAGTCCTCATGTGAGGACCACCAAAGAACATTGTCTGTGACGTCCTCTGTATTGTCAACTGGAAATTTAAAGATGCTGATTCCGTAGCTGTAGTTCTTGATTATGGACCATTTTGTTGGAATTTTCTTAAAACTTACTTTTAAAAAATCTTATTAAGATATTACTGAAGTAGGGTAAACTACATATATTTAAAGTGTAAATTTTGACCAGTTTTGGCATCTGTGTATACCTGTGAAAGCAGTATCACAATCAAGATGAGAATTTCCAGTACCCTGAAAAATTGCCTAATGCCCCTTTATTATCTACCTTTGCCGCCTCCACCCCTATCCTTAGGTAATAACTAATCTGCTTTTTGTCATTATAGATTATTTCACGTTTTCTAGAATTTTATATCAATGGAATCACGTGTAGTATCTTCTGTTATTAGGAAACAAAAAGAAGTCAGAGGTTCCCAATCAGAGCTGAAAGGTGGATCCCTAATGATTTCCCATCAAAACGCATGCAGAATTGCCCTTGTGATGGGAGGCGTCAACAGGGGCATTGTCGTGGAGATGGACTCCTGATGATGCTCTACTGGGTGTTTTCTGCTGATGCTCAGCTGACATTCTCAAGACTCTTTCATATTAGGCTGAGGTTACCATTTTTTGACCCTTCAGAAAGCCAACAAGCAATATGTCATGAACATTTCCCCCCAAATGTTGCCATGACCTTTGCTCTTAGTCTGCTTTTTTTTTTTATTGTGAATTAGGTGGCGGGGGCGCTTACATTTCAAACCATCAGCTCTATATTTAACAGTTCAAACCACTCATCAACCACCAACCCTCATGACCAATCTGTTTTTGCGTTGACCGGACCACTTCTACCTCTTGGTAATCATCGCTTTGATCATGTTTGTAGGGTCATACTGGCAAAGCTGTGTTGATCTTCTCTTAGAATTTCTCCAACAAATGCTTCAGGCTTTTAATTCCTCTTGTTTATTTCTGTTGAAAGCCCTGCTTTTTCTGCAGCTGATCTGGCCATAGTTTTAGCACCCATTGGGCCAAAGTGTGCTTAACTTTAATTTTGCAGTCAGAATTCTGTAAACTGAACCAATTGAGTTGTCTATGGTATTAGCTATTGTTGCTGCTATTGTCAGTACCAATCAATTCTGGCACACAAAAAATCATTTTTTTCCCTCAGAAATGGATGTGGATGGTCTGCCTACTACAGGCTTTCTTCTCATCCCTTCTTAAAACAGATTTTTCATTTGTAAACTGCTAATTTCTTTGACACATTGTCCTCAGAAGTTTCTTGTAAAGCACCAATGATTTCCCAGTTTTTCCACCCAAGTGTCACCATAAATTTAATGCTTTTTACTTTAACTTAGATTTTATCAGAATCCATGTTGCTCTCACAGGGACTCTTGTGTAACTGATGTGTTAGCCTTTTAGTGCTTCAGACTAGATTCTATTTAGGCATATTATAACAAGTTAGTGTCAGTTTATTTGGGTGCAGTTTAAAAAAAAAATCCCTGTATAGTTTTTTCATAATACATGTTTTTCCATGAACGTTTTGGAGATCCCTCAACTATGTTATTGTGTATATCAATAGTACCTTCCTTTTACGGAATACTTGCTGACTGGTCTTACATTGTATAACTGTGCCACCATTGTTGTTGTTGTTGTTGTTTAGTTGTGTAGCTGTATTGCTAATGAACATTTGAATTGTTTCTAGTTTTTTTATGATTGCAAATGGAGCTGCACTGAAAACTTCTATGCAGGTTTTTATGTGGATAGATACTTTTTGTTCCTATTGGTAAATACCTTGGGGTAAAATGGCAGAGGCATATGGTATGGTAGGGGTATGTTTTACCTTCTTAAGAAACTGCCAAACTTACCCAGAGTGCTTGTGGACCATTTTACGGTCCTGCCAGCCATCTGTGGGACTTTTAGTGACTGGAAGCACGTTTTTATCTATCATTTAATGGGTTGATGAGTTTTATATATTTTTATGACATATAT